CCCACAGATGTTTGAAAGTTCACTGCAGAAAGGCCATGGGAAATCAAGGGGGAGTTTTAAAAAAGCAACATGATGTGATTTGCCCATTAAATACTGCTGACAATGAGGAGGGCATGCTGTGAAAGGTAAACCTGGAATCTGTTCACTCAACAAGAAGATTTTTCTAGGTGTTCATTTGAGAAGTTCATTGTACATGTGAGGGAGAGCAAGGATCCATTGAAGAGCTACTGCAGAATTCTTGCAGGGTCAAGAAGAGAAGAATGAAATTTATAAACAGTACAGAATTATAGTATCTATCATTGAGTTGGGAGACAAGAAACGGTCTAGAATAAGAAAATAATTCAGGACACTTAGTACTTGTGGTGCTCTTACGACTTTCAATCATCCTGTATTGACTTCTATCTCAGGGTCACAACCTTAATCTGTCTTTAAGTTCATTGAGAATTAGGACTAAGACTCTCCAACTCAATATACCCTGTGTACCAATATACCTTAGCATACCCGAAGTTTTCTTAGTAAAATGTTAAAAAGTCATTCTCATAAAAAAATGATTATATACCTAGATTTTATGTACTCCATTAACTAAAGGGGCCAACAGTATATCACTGAGTTAGTTTAAGAAGGAATCCGAGAATGGGGATGTTCTATTGAGATGTAAGCAATATGCTAGAAATAAAAATGGATAATATGTTTATAGGAGAAAACTCAGTATTTATTTTCTTGGTTTATTTTTCCATGTCAGATTGTAACAAGTATACTGCATCTTACTGATTTTCCATAAATCAATCTCTAATTTTATCGGATTAATTTGTGCTCCCCTTTATTATAGTACTTCCCGGATGACATGTTAGAAACCATCCTAGTTTCTAAAGAAGTTACAAAGATGCTTATCATGTTGCCCTATTTCCAGGATGTGAATATTTTGTTTTCTGCATGTATTTTTGAAGTGGTTCAAATAATATTCATCGTGTGTTTTTTATACTGACTGTATATCTTGTTGTAAAAAAAAATCTGAGATGGTGTAAATAAAGGGAAAAATTATAAAATTCAAGGCAAATAGCAAGCTAAATAAAATAAAAATAGACTCAGTATAGTAGATAGTAGATTTATTTATGTATTTTTAGATGGGGCAAATGGAAAAATAGTAAATTATCATAATGGGACAGACATGCTATAATTCAGTTAATTCTAAGCCAATGTGAACTACTGTAAATTGTGATGCCCAGAGTGTGTGGGCTATGTCTTATTCTTCTCTGTCTTTTAAATTTAATATAGGTCCTGTGACATAGATGGTTTCCCTGGATGATTGGCAGTATTGTAATATAAAAAGATTACAATTAAAATAAGAAATCTTATCATGGATTTCTTTGAGCCCATCTTCAAATGCTAATATGTATTTTGAATTTTTTCATAGTAGACTGCTACAGTTTGAATCTGGAATTGCCTCCAAAATCCCATATATGGGGAGCTTTATCCTCTGCTTGGGGATTCTTTAAGATGTACAGCCTAGTGGGAGGTACTAGATCACTGGGAGGTGCCCCTAAATGGGATTATGATCCTTTCTGTGATGGAGTCATGAGGTGTATGAGTTTTTAGTCCACTGTATTCTCTCCACCATGATGTACTGCTTCACCATGGGCCCAACAAGTAAAGAAGCCAACTGATCGTGGACAGAAGCCTCAAAAAGAGTAAGGCAAAATAAATCTTTCTGCAAAATGATTATCGCAGTATTTTTTTAAAGTAACAGAAAGCTAACACATGAGTATAAAATTCAACCTCATATTGTGCATTATTGGCTCATTGTTTCATGAGTATATGTTTTCCACATTAGACTATGAGGTTCTTGAGAGGAGAGTCATGTATGCCAGGCCATAGAAATGGGTATATAATGAATGTTCTCATTAACACACATTAGTTAATTTCTTGTATATCATATTGTAGCTGTGCAAGATTGAGAATAAATGTCCCTGGATAGGTGAAGGAAAGTAACATCTAGAGAAAGGGTGGCAAACAGTAAGATTTTCTCCCAAAATACACTCAAAATAGGGATACTAATGAACCTAGTTATTTACCAATAATGTAAATTCTACCTTAACCTACTTTTCAGAGTGCCCATGGCAGGTGCGATAACAAAATATTCAAAGTGGTTAGATGAGAGGAAATGTATTCTCTGTCCTTGACATAGAGTTTACTTACTGACATTACAGTGATGGTTCTGATTTGCCTTATCCTGTTCTTCAACAGTAGGTATGAGGTTAGTTACAGAAGACAGAGACAAACCCACCTTATAAACAACGCAAGATAGTTTCTAAAAAATGCAGCTTGTTTTATTTTTATAGAAACTAAAACACCAGAGTTCATTGATTCCTATATTAAATACATAAATTATAAAATAACCATTCATAAAACTTTACATACAATATCTTGATTCTGATCTCTACGATATTACATAAAGTACATATACATGTCTGGTGTACTTCAGAGGACCATTGTGATGAAACTCAGTCAGTTTGTATCTTTCATTAATAAACAAGCACTGAAGCAGAAAAGAGAGTCATGCTACTGAGATGGAAAGAGCCCCAGCTGGTACAACTCATCGGAGGACAGCTCTGAGAAACTGGCCCCTGGCTACATCAATGCAGTAGGCATCTGATGGATTCTGTATTCAAAACACGTTAGTTCTATGCTTGAGTCTCCAATTGGACATTGAAATTTAAATCATGCATGAACTTTCCTTGGGATGGTATTGTTAGCTGATAGAGATATGGAACCTTTGACTGATATGAATACTGTAGATTGTGCTGGATTTTTTGTTGCTCTTCCAAAACAAAGAAACAAAAAATTGCTGGCTTATAGACCTGGAGAGTTGAGAGTTCAGTGAGCAATCTCTACCACAGTCAACAACAGGAAATAGTAGTAATGGACAGAAGGCGGGGTAGCAGGTAGAAGGGGCAGGCAAGGTAGGATGAACACAGACACCAGCTAAACAAAACCAGGAGCCGCCCGGTGAGCATCAAAAACACCTCCTTTAAATTCCCCATTCTAGGGCAGAATACACAGCTAGTGAGTGCTCACACCAACATTCTATGTACAGAGTATATATGTTATATATATGTACATCACATATTATAAAGCGTTTGGATTTTGATCTGCCTCAGTATGGGTTAATGGAAGAAACAGGCACCTTTTGTGAGACATTTGTCAAATATACTGACTGCGATAATTAATAGATCCTGGGATTTGCTGTTGGTCAGCAAATTCCATCATCTGCTCTGTACTCTGTGGCATTTTCATTGTAGGCTAAGTTGAATTTGAGTTGGGAGTCTGTTCCATTGCCATCCTACAAAATTTGCATATAAGAAAGTTGGAAATATAAGTATGAATATAAAGAATTAGATACAAAACTTAAAAGAGAAACAAAAACTTCACCAAATCATCCACCTCAGAGTTTAATATATTAAGTTGAATATAGTAAATTATAGTTTTATATTTGTCACATTGCCCCTTGAAGTTTAAGTCCAGTAATTCTGATTAAACGTTGAACTTGGGCTCTCAACAACAGATTGATCTAGGGAAAACTAAACTGTTAAAGTAAAGGCAGCAGTGTAGGAATGTGAAGCTGCCTGTCCATTCCTGAAATGGAATCACAGAGTTTGGCACTTGAAGAAATAACATGAGGATCAACTATAGCCTTCCAAAATGCTGAGTCCTCTTGGAAATATGCAGTCAAAAGACGTAAATTATACAGCAATGACAAGGTGTTAGATGGAACGAACGTTTCCTTCTTCTAAGATTTGTAACTTATTTTCCCCCATTACAACATTGAAGTCTGCTTAAAAGAGAGGCTTGAGGGCCGGGGTTTAGCTCAGCGGCGTAAGTGCCTGGTTGGCAAACACGAGGTTGTGAGTTCAATCCCCGGTACCAAGACAAACAAGAACAACAACAACAACAACAACAAAAAAAAAAAAACACAAAGAGGCTTCAGCTAGCCTTGGCTCATCTACTTTCTAAAGTTATGTTGAAGTTTTTAAATTTGGAGATACTTTTAAATTACTGAATGATAGAATTAAACTGTCAAACGCGATTATTAAATTGCTAGAACCTTGCTGTGAAAATTTCACAAAGGCCAGCAAGCAATACAACCAGCAACAATGTAGCCAATTCTTATTTGTGTGTGTGTGTGTGTGTGTGTACACGTTTTCTGAGCTACTCTTTCACAGATCAAGAATGCAATTATTTAAAAAGTATCTATTCTACCCATTTACTTTGATGCAACTTAACAGGTTACCCAGTTATTCAAATGTTAATACACAAGCAATAGTATTTTTCTTTTACAGTTTCTAGGAAAAATCAGACAGGTCAAAAACACATGCATTATTTTGAAGTAATGACTTACGAGTTACACAAAAGATCTGAACATACAAATTATTCAGTGGGTTTACAGAAAAAGTTGACAATAGGCAGAAAGGAACAAATTTGCCAGAGATTTATTTAAAACCCTAAACAATCAAATAGGTTCAAATAAAATATTGTTGCAAAAACTGTTTGTCAAACTTTATTTTTTCTATTACAGGTGGATAACCAATGTTCCCTTCTATCCTCGGCTTTTTAAATCATCTATCCTGAGCTGGGAAGAAACATTCTATCTGCATGAACAGTTACTTGTGAACTGAAGAAAAATCAAAACAGAAATTACTTTCCTACCCTTCAAATCTTAATAGTGGCAATAATTTAACTTCTTTGACATGTTAGGAGATCTGATTTTTTTCATTATATTTTGTCTCCTAAAATGAAAGTTCAGTGGTACTTTAAAATATCCAGCATGGTGATAGTGTTTTCTGCTACAGTAGTCAAATAGAGCCTGTCCATTTCTTTTCTTTCATGGAAATTTTTCTGTACAGGACAAGTGCAATAAACTGGGATTTGAATTTATTTCAAACTATTTTATTTGCATTTATTTCAAACTGTTTTGACTTGTCACCTTTGGTATTTTCCAACAGATGAATACTTTGCTAAGAAAAATTAAGTAAATGAATCTTGATTGTTTTGATTCCTACTAACTCATTGATCAAATACATCAGAAGAGTACAGACGCATAAATTAAGGAGGTGAGTGTGAATTCTGGTTCTTTTTTTTTTTTCCTCAGAAGTGGAACCATAGTAAGTAGATATCTCCATTTTTACAAGATACTGTTCTCATTTTATAATTGGTAAGTTTTCAATTAGACTGGTCCATTTCCATGGTTTCATGAAAGTTTGAAATACATCTACAAGTTGCATGATGCTTTTATAGTTGTAGAAATGGATAATAGACATATCTATCAACATATTTACTTACCAGATATGTTAATTTTGGTGATCACCAGTAAAATTTAGTAATGTTATCATTTAGCTTAAAATCTAGAGAAATGTTTCTTTTCCTGGACCTTATGCAAAACGAGAGACTCTCTCCTTCTGCACTTGTGGTAACATCATTGACATTACTTAGATGATCATCCTAGGTTTTGTTGCTGTTACATGAATTGGTGAATGATGCTATCCAATTATTAGCAGGCAATCAGATAGGGCATGTGATCAAGTCCCATTATTTTTGCAAATATTTCTTATCACTTAAAATAGTCCTCGGATACCAATTTTAAGTGCAAATTTCTTGACAAGTGAAGGCAAATGAAGAGAACGAAAATATATTGGGTGGAGCAGATGGAGTATAAATTTGCTCAGAGGGGCCGTGCAATGGTAAGTGAAGAGTAAAGTCTAAGACTGGGGTAAACTGGGTTGAATGACACATTGTAGCGGTTACCCTGTTTCATTTTCCCACACAATGAACCTGATGCTCATTCTTCATCTGGAACCTACCTAAATGAAGAACGCAGTAGGACAGTTTTGTACATTCCTCACCCAGCCTTTTCCCAAAATCAAAGAGATAAACAGGTAGGTCATGCACTACCATCAGCTCTCTCCAAGCCTACATTTTTCATGGTTGGCTCTTGTGATTAAAGTGATTTTTTTTTGAGGGCATGCATGTCAGTCAGGAAGGAGAATGATCCAATCCCCAAAGCTGGGATGTTCTTGTTATTGAAATGACAGTTGTGTTCAGTAACATGAGATGATCTGTTTGTTATATTATTAGAGATCCTGGCTTTGATCTCTTATCTTTATTGCTAATAATGTCCCAGGTAGCTTGATGGGAAAGCTTCAGTGCTGCAATGTTTACATTTAACCAAGCTGGAGCACTATTTTTATTACATAGGGGAATCTTTCTCTCAACGACACAAGAAAGTCAAATAATACAGCACTTACAATAATTACAAAGCACTTTGTGCTACGTTAAGCACCTCTTGTTCCAGAATTGCAAATAAAACTTTATGAAAAAGCATTTGAACCCCATTTTGCAGATGAGGAAACTGAGGCACAGAGAGGTTAAGTGACTGGGCCAAAGATATCTGGGTCAGCAGTAAATACAAGGAAAAAAAGTGGGACCCTAGTGTTCCAGTTTCTTTTGTAGATGCTTCAGTTATTATTCTGGCTTTGAAAATGCCAGTGCTAAAATCAAAGGTTGAGATATTGAACTCACATTAAGGAAAGATTTGTGTAACATTTCCTAGAAAGAGTTTTTGGCTCCCTACACACATTCCCTATGCATGTGATTCTGGCCCCATAAATAAAATCTTGAAAATTTGAAAAATTGAGGTTTTCTTGTTATCTACAGTAAATGAGGTGTAAAGTTTGCTTTTCAGGAACACATATTTGCTCTCAGAGCCGAATCCAAGACTCAGCAATACATAATATAATAATATAGGAAAAGTACCAGTCTTTAAGAGTCTCTGGTAGAAAATGACCTTATCAGAATCTGTTACCTCTATATAAAAAATTAGAGCTAACTGCTTTCAGCTGTCTGGGAAAAATGTTATCACTCTAAATGACAAGAGGTCAGATTGCTCTAAGTGTATCAAACACTTTTAATGTTCACATTTCTGTGGCACCCCAACGATTGGTAGAAATTTACTTATCATCTTTATGATGTTTAAACCCCAAATCCTATAGCGTATTCATTTACAGGCAATTTTAAATTGAAAACAACTATTTTGAAAATTGAAGGATTCAGAGGTGTTCTCTGGCCCACATTCCCTATTGATGTTGGCGTTCTAAACAGAACTAAGCCAGGGAACTTGTGATTTAGAGTACTGTCTTAATTTTCAATATAAGTGAGATCGATCCACTGTCAGTAGAGGAATGCAGATGCAGAACAGGGAAATACCAACTCTGCATTCACGTCTCCTGTTACATTCACCAGAGTCCTTGGACTTGGTTGCCGGTTCAGCTGGGTTCACTGTGATCCACTTGGCTGTCATCTGTGAGATGCACTCCACTGCTCCACCGTTTGCAGAAAAACAAAACAGAGTGCCTTTCTTCTGTTCACATTGTAGATGTCTGTGTTCCTGAGTTTAAAACAATCCTAAAGACTGAAAAGCAAATCCCTGTAGTAAGAAACCAGACTTTTCAAATGAAACATTTTATTATAAATAGCTCCTCATAGGAATTCCTCGTGCTTCAATTCCCACCCACATTTGTTTTTGTTTTGCTTTGATTTTTTTAAAATGATGTTTATTTTCAGGACTAATGTTTCCATGGAGTGTGGTGTTACATTAAAATGACCCCCCCTGCACAGCAGGAGTTGAATGTTTCATTGTAACTTTGGTTCCATGCCCAAGACACATCTTTACTTGATCTGCTAAAACTGGTTCCATTGCTCAATTTTTTTCTTTACACAATATATGTTTATAGTTCTCTTCTTCTGGTTTGAATATACATATTTCATTAAATGCAGCATATATTGTAGATTTTCACCAGGGTCATGTAGGAACTGTTAAGTAAGAAACCTTGAGTAATGGCTTTAAAGTACCCAGTCGTAGTCCTGGCTACAGGGTAGTTCGTAGCTTTTGATCTCCCTTGCACTGGTGTAAACAATTTTGCCATCTTGGAAGGTTTAGAAGCATTTGCCTTTCTGGGGTCCAATCCATATTTTCGGTTATTCTGTAAAACAAAGGGAAAAAAACTTTGTCATTTCTGCTAATAACTGAATCTAAGAAAAGCAAGCTTTTGCACATGACAAGTTTGGTGTAATTCCCAGCACCAAAACCAAATCAAACTAAACAAAAGACCAAAGACAAATGCAAACTATGCTTTATAAAAATAAAAAAATTAAAAATTCCTTACCATCTTTTAGAGCTGGAATGCTTTTGTACAAGTTACAAAACATCTGTAAAGTGTAGCTATTTTACTTTTAAATAGAAAATAGAAGTATTTAGTTCAATGCTTATTACAACATCAGAAAGCATACAAAGTAATTAATAGTTTTGTTTCATAATGCATGGCCTGAAATATGAACTATTATGATTATTACCTATTCCTCTGAGGTGCTTCAAAGCAATCCCTTAAAAGTTAATTGAATCACCATACTTCGAAGCATACTTAAGATGTTATTTTTCAAGTTCTACCTGTACCCTGCCTGTACCTGACTTACTTTTAAGGTAAGCTTTCTCCTTAACAACTGTAACTACCAGCAGTTTGTCTCCACTCTGAGGACTGTCTGAAGGATTCCTTGGGATATCTGTTGAAGAGGTTGATCTAGAGATAACCCTGAAAGGGGTTACGCAGAAGCTGTTTCCATCAGGACTTTTACCTTTGTTGCTCCTTTAGTCCATGTGTCTGGGATTTCACTCCAGTGGAAGTCCAGGTGATAAAGGTCTCTCTTCCAAACAAAGCTAAAGGTGGCACGAGGGCCATGCCATCATGTGCCAGTCAGTGATATGACCTTTAGTATGACTGACATGGAGAGAGAAAATGATACTTCCATTTTCTTACATTATGCCCAAGGGTATAGTATTTAACTTAGGTAAGCCTCAATTGCTTCATCTGTAAAATGAGATGCTAATTTCAGTGGAAGGATTTTATGTTTATTTCAGACATGCTGACCAAGAGCCAAAGTGGGGAAAGGAGATGCTTACTATCTTGAGGATACTTTCGGTATACCATTTAAAGCAAATTAAAGATCCAAAGCACTTCCTGCTGTAAGTGCAAGTCAGAAATATTTGAAAAATACATTCACAGAGCCATTTGGCTCCCAAGACTGAGTTCAACTGGGATGGAGGAGTGATGGCCTCACAGCGGCAAGGAAGTTCAGTGGCTGAGGTGAGACCACGCTGTGGAGGAGGGTGGAAAGCACCAAGAGGCACAGAGCTCGGTGAGAAGAGCTGTCTTCTCATGTACTCGCTTATTTACTCCTGTTCTGAGCAGAGTTGGAGAAGGATGATGATGCAGAGATGGGGGAGGAAATGACAATAAACAGTCTGAAACTGAATTTTCAAACTGGGCTACACTTTTAAGATCTTCAAACAACTATTTCCACATATGATATTCTTCCTTGATTTTTTAACCAAGATGGGAAGCACAAATGAAGATTTACCATTTGCTGGTGATGTGAAACTGTGCCCTAAGTAGATGGAAGTACATCTTGAAAGACACAACTCAACACAGAATGCTTGGCATGTCCAAGGAAATTGGCTTGTAATGAAGCCTCTTTTGAACCAGGTTCTGTGCTACTTAACTATCTTAATATAGGTGTATAATATAGAAAAATAGTACATGCCATCACAATTATTTTTGATGCTGCAAATTGAACCCAGGGCCTCATTCATGATAAGGAAATGCTCTACACACTAAACCACACCCCAAGCCTGCTAATTTTTTATATTAGGAAATTAATATTTACCTAGTGTTATGGTCTGAATATCTGTGTCCTATTCAAATTCATGTTGAAATTCAATCCCAAATGCAAAACAACACTGAAAGATTTAGGAGGTAATACCCTCACGGATGGGATTAGTGCCTTCTGAAAGGAGGGAGCAAGCTAGACTCCTGCTGCCTTTTCATGCCTTTCACTTTGCAAGAACACGGAGTTGGCCTCCTCCAGCAAAGACAGCAAGGTGCCACCATTTTGGAAGCATCTTGTCCTGCACATCACCAGACACAGAAACTGCCAGTGTCTAGTCATGGACTTCCTACCCTCAAAAACTGTAAGAAATGAATTTCCATTAATTATAAATTATTTAGCTCCAGGTATTTTGGTACAGCAGCACAAATAGATGAAGATGGAGATGTCAAACAGCATCTATTTAGCAGGGGCAGTATTAAAACATAATGCAAATGAAATGCATTTTAACTATAAAACAAGACATCTTTCCCCCTTCTCTTGCCATAATGTTAGCATTATTTTAGAAAGTATTTACTGACTGTTCATTGTGTGCTAAGAACTCTCTAGATATAGGATGAGCAAAACATATAGCTCCTGTTCTCCTGTAGAGAGATATATTAACAGCAAATATATGCAATTTTTTATACAAGCATGTAAAAATTCAGCTAGATGGTAACTCAAGACTTCTCCAAGGCAATCACAGTGGAGTGCAGATTGGAAGGAAGGGTGAGTAGGTGACTGCTAGATGAAGTGGGAAGGAAAGTTCTGCGCACTGGGGCAGCTTGGGCTAACACTCGTGGTGGGAAGGAGGAAGTGTGACTCATCAAGGAATCGGAGCCTGGTAGCTTGAGACACTGTCTATGCTTAGACCATACAAGGCTCCTCTGGATAGCTAGGAACTGCGACTAGATACTAATGATGATGTTTTCCTAGGAAAGTGGCAAGATTAAATTTGAGCTTTGGAAAACTCACTCTGTGTCTATCTAGGGAGAAAGTACTGAGCCCAGGTACCCTGGTAACTATGAAGCTATGGATCAGGAGAAAATGTATGCCTTTGCTTTGCTCTGCTTTACCAATGAATCCTTTAAACTAATCTCCAAATTGTATACAAGGAACAAATTTTTTTTCTGGAGGGTGAGGAGCTACTGAGGATTGACCCCAGGGCCTCTCATGTGCTAAGCATGTGCTGTGCCAATGAGCTGCACCCACATAACTAGATATGTTATTGTACATGATATTACATTATTATGCTGTTTGTGGCTTCAATCTTGCATGTCACAAGTTTGTGTTCAATGTCATTTATCTGACAATCTACTCAATCATTCATCTGCCCTTTAGCCCATCTATCAATTTAAAATATGTTCAGCGCCAAGTGCATCTTAAGCACTGTTGTAGACACTGAAATTATAAAGATGAATGATGTATAGCCTTACTCTAGGCTTTGTTGAGTCCCTGTGAGACAGGGAAACAATTTTAGAATAACTGAGTGAAGTGTAATGAATATATTTCCATAAAGAAAGGAATGATTAATTAGCATAGCATGATTCATCTTATAGAATTCCTGTGCCAGTGTGAAACAATAAGCAGCAAATATTTTCTACTTTAAGCAACCAAGAAACAATTGTCATTTTCATAAGACCACTTGTGAAAATAGCACAGTAATGTAATACTGTGTAAGATAACATACTCAGACTGTGGATGTAGCTCATTGACAGAGCACATTTGTGGCCCATGTGAGATTCTCCAGTGGCCTCCAACTTCTCAGAATACCAATTTGTTCCTTGTATAAAATTTGGAGGCTAAATTAAAGGATGCATTAAAAAAGCAAATGGTCTTGCAAACATTGCTGGGAGAAAGTATTAAGAGATACATGTGATAAAAAGTAAATATTTGCATGCATTTAACAGTTTGTAACCAATCAACTGTGGCTGTTTTATAACACAACATTTAACTTTTTAAAAGTTTTTGCACCAAACCAATAACAGTTTTCTCATGTTACTAAACAGGAAGTAAAATTAGTGAGCTATTAAATTCAAGAATTCATGGGTGACATTTAAAGAAGTGACACTAAAAATAAAACAGACCACAGCAGATGAATAAAGAATCATGAACACCTGTCCTCTGGTTTTCTCGACTTCATAATGACAAAGCTGCCCCTACCTCCTCTTTCTTGATCCACTCCTGCTCTGAAACGGATTTTTCAGTGGGCTGTTGTAACCTGGATATAACAACTAACCAGATCATGGCTATTTCTCTCTTATTTTCTTCTTTGTTTTGTTTCTCTGTGAAACTGTCTAATACGGCTGCTATGGCTTAGCTGGGTCTCCCCAAAACTATGTGCCAGGATTTAATGCCCACTACAGTAGTATTGAACGGTGGAACCTCCTGAGAGGTGATTAACCTTGGATTAGACCAGGATTTCTAATGTCTGATTGCAGTCTGTGGCCTGTTAGGAAACTGGCCTCACAGCAGGATGTAAGAGGTAGGCTAGCATGAGGGCTCATCTGTATGTACAGTGGCTTCCCATTGCTTGCGTTACCACCTGAGCTTGTCTCCTGTCAGATCAGCAGTGAAGGCAGCTTATTCCAGCAGAGCAACCCCCTATTGTGAGCTGCACATGTGAGAAATCCAGGTTACACACTCCCTATGAGAATCTGAATCCTGATGACACAAGATGGCCTTGATGCAGTGATTCTAGTGCTAGGGAATGACTGTTAATACAGATCAGCGTCAGCAGAGAGGTCTGGCTCTACAGAAAGCATAATGAATCAATAAATTCTGGATTACTTCCAGAATCGCATTAATACCTGGTCAGTGAGTGGCAAGTGATCAACTGGGACTGGTAGCAGGCTTTATGTCAGAACCGATTACTTATTTCAGTCCCCAGATGTCCCTCCCTTTATTTACCATTGCCACCCTCTTTCCTGCACTGCTCCTCTGTCTCAGTCACAATTTTGGTAACCTCACAAGTTAACCCAGCAAACGTGAGTGAAACACAAATGTCATTGGAGTGCTTCTTTGAAAAGAGGAAAGACCCAATGATGAGACTTGAAGACTGCCAACAAAAAGAAAACTACATTTTGAGGAAAAATACTGCGTCCTCCTTAAATTGTGAGTTTAACATTGTATAACATATGACTCACATTGTATAACGTGGCTTCTAGCTGCCTTGCCCAATTAAACCACTAAATCTTCAAAACTGCTTTAGCGCTGGGATTAAAAGTGAAGGCTTTGGAAGGTACTCAGAAATGACCATGAGGTACAGAAGCAATGATTGAAGGCCACTGCTTAATTAATGTGTCTGCACTGAGAACATCACTGTTAGTGGTTAATCTCATTGCTAAAGTTAAGAAGCCCTTAACTCTTGATGAAGAGTTAATCCTTCCCGTTGTGCGGGTGATTTGTTGTGAACTTTTTAGTACAGAGTGCAGTTCAAAAGGTGGCATGTTCCTCTTTTGGTTGGCACTGGAACTAGATGAACTGATGGAATAGCTGAGTTCACTGAATCATAATTATTGGAGAAGATTAATTCGCCATTGTGGTAAGCAATCCAAATTGATGAATCTAATAACGTTGACAGTAAGCAGCACTGTTGGCTTTTGTGATATATTTTTTAAAAGAAGGATATGCATGCAAAAGATATCTCTCTTCGCCTTTTTTTTCTTGTACTGGGGATTGAACTTACAACCTTGTGCTTGCTAGGCAGGCGCTTATACCACTGAGCTAAATCCCTGGCTCTCCCGTAGCCTATAATACAGGATGCATGGAGATTTGAAAATTTTCTCAAATGTATTTTTTAGTCCATCATCATTTGGGAGCTCAAGCAGTTGAGTCACCTGGCTTATTCACAAATGGATCATGGATCCATTCCTTTCCACAAAAGCAGTCCCTGGTGCCCCAAATAGTTGGACTTCTGGATTAGATGTAGGAACTCAGAGTTCTTCAACCTTTGGACTCTGGGACTTGCAGTAGCGGTTTCCTGGCTTATCTCAAGCCTTTGGTTTTGAACTGAAAGTCACACCATTGGTTTCCTAGGTACTTGGGCTTCCTAACTTCTGCTGAAAGCAACACAATGGTTTCTGTGCCAGCTTGTAAGATGGCCCATTTCTTTTTCTAAGAAATATGGTAAATGCATAACCACATTTAATTCTCTTAACTCAACACTTTGCTATGAGCCATACCAGCATTAGGCACTTCCTCTAACATATGTCCTGTTAGGCATTCATCCTTCTCCTCCTCCTGTTCTTCTTCCTCCTTATCTTTTCTCTCACCTTTCCTCTCCTCAATTCCCCTGCCCCACTGTGACTCCCACAATACAGTGGTACACTGTTCATCTGAATAAACAGAGCTCATGGACAGATGATGTCTCACTGAACTACCTGGGTGTCTATTCATTAAGTCAAAAGTTCCTGTTCAACCCAGGTGACTGAGTGATGTAGTCACTAGGGACACAACTGAGTGTAGTGTGGGTGCCATTTGAGAAGGTTCTCACTAGCTTCTAGAGCGTCATTGCAAATAATGCCTTAAGTGATTGTTAAATGAAAAGAAGTATGCACCATTAAATTTTAAACTTCGATTTATGTATGTTAGTCTTGGGTTTATGAACAGAATAAAAATCATTTATTTAGTATAAAATTTTTAATGGTTATCTGCAATATAATTTTGCTAACTGCCAACAACTCAATCACTTTTCTTCCTTAATTCTTCCTAGTGTTCATTTGATGGCTTCAGAGACATAAGTAGCATTAATTACTTTTCAGTAATGTTACATTCCCATATATTAATTAAATACAGATTATTTTCTGAAAAGAGGGATTGAAAGCCAACTTCTTATTTCTACTTAGGCCATAAATACTTGGAAATACTGAAGAGTATCATCTCAAATTTACATATATGCAAACTCAGTGAAAGTTGTAGCTAAGTTTTAATAATAATAGTTACAAATTGTTAACTTTTTCTAAGAAATATGGTAAATGCATAACCACATTTAATTCTCTGAACTCAACACTGTGCTATGAGTAACACACCTATAACCTTTTTATAGATGAGGAAACCTAATCTCATGCAGTGTAAATAAATCACCTCCCATTACATGACTAGTCAATGGCACGATGCCAACTATATTTGACTTTAAATCTATATACTTTACTCAGCTATTTTCCTGCATATATTTTATACTGTCCACATTCATTATCATATTCACTTATAATATTAATCAGCATTATAGTATTTCATTAAATAGATAATTACAAAGTGTCAATCATGCACTACTTGGGAGGAACACCAAATTAAATCTTGTACATTCCTCAGAGTTGCAAAAAAGTGAGAAACAATACAGAGATGACCACACTGAAATTCTCAAAGTCCATAGGTAACTGCTACTATATTATATACACAGCAGAAAACGCCTCTCACAGCTGCCACATATGAACATAAGGGTTGCTCTTTTATTGGTGGAGAGTGGTGCCCAGTGGAGTGACGCTATCTGGATCAGACAAGCCCTAATCCTGCAAATTGCAGGAGTATGGTTTTGAGAAAGTCACATGCTGCAGTTACTTCAACTGTGAAACAGGAACAGAAGAAACAGCTACTTCATAGAGAACTGGATAAGGATTAAATATGTCTATTGCTTAAAACAACTCCTAGCACATAGTAATGTTAACCATTATGTATATTGATGTGGAAACCTGCTCATTTTCTGGCACATATTTATGATGTTTGATTTCTTTTTCTTATAAGCCACCATGCATCTTACTTGTCTCTTACTAAATTGTATGTGCCACATTTACTTATTTATTGGTTGGGAGATGTTTTCTAACACTCTGGCCATTTTGATCCATTCATAGAGAATCTCATCCCTTTTCAAATTAGATATTTTCATTCACTTTAAGAGATTCAGTCTCCTTTGTGTGTTGCAGGGTTGTGACCCACAGAAAATCTTTTTGGGGAATGGATAAAGCCAGAAAGTTGGTTAAAGAGTAAATACACTTCACACATCTGTCTAATTCTCACTATTTCAGGATGTGACTTTTTGCTTGCTTGTTTGACCTGAAGTGCACTGTCAATACTCATTGAGGGAGTAGGTATTTCTCTTTCATTTTTCAACTTATTAGAAGAAAGTATTACATGATATGAAATCTAGAGATCACTGCACAATATAACTTAATAGAATAATCAGGCAGACATGGACCGTGACAACTCGATGTAGAATAGCAACTACACTTTCTTCTTTTTAAACAATGGTATTGAGATTTATTGTTCCCATACCTGTCTGGACACCAGAATCACCTATTATGCCTAGAAATTCTGACTGGTCTTTGCTCTCCACCTTCCCCACCCCCCATTTCATCTCCTTCTCCAGTGATCTGATTCATCATACCTGTGGTAGTATGTGAAGATCTGTTATTGTTAAGCCCTGGCAGCACTGGCTAAGATTATTGTGCACATATTAATGATAATTAGACTCAGAAAATGCAGTGGTATGATTCTCCTTTTTATCTCCTAAAGTGACATTGAGTGCTCTTTATCTGAAAACAAGATCCGATTTTACTTAATAGCCTACTTTCCTGACTTCTGATAAAAAGACTGGAAAGTGGGCTGAAAAATAATAGTCATTACTGACTTTTTAGATTCTCACAATCAGCATTTTCATGCTGAGACAATACTAAAGATACAGTCATATTTCTTCACACTGCAGGTATAGAAGAATGCTTTTATTATAATGGAAGATTACAATGGTAACACTAAGACCCACAGCCTTGGTGGCTTCTCAAAGTAATACAGTTAACTGGAAAAATTCTTTATTCCTATCATATTTCATAACATATTTATTGATTTAATAGTCATGCAAATGGATTGACTCTGTTTCTCATGTTATAGCTCATTTTATATTTTTTTAAAATAAACTAAAATAAACTAAATCTATGCACTCTAAACGATATGCAACATTCTTTTTATCAAATAGCTCTCAGAACCACAGTTTTGAGAATTAAATGGAATCTTACCTTTAAGAGGCACCTTGACATCAAGGCCATAGAATAAAGGCAAGAGAGAAGAACAAGAATAGAAACAGAAACTGCAGAAGAAAAAGAAGAAGATTATGTAAATCTGAATTTCTGTAGAGTTATTCAGGTAGCACAAAAACCTCAGCTTTTCCACACTGCTCAAATTTTCCCATTTCTCACAGGCATACATACCTTTTTTGTTCCTGAGATCCATGCATTTCATTTATCTGCTGAGCAGTGTCAGTGTTCAACTAACATCATATTTTAGAATTGTGAGAGGGGTCTCACAGATCCTTTATCTAAGCTTCTGATTTTTTAGTGGAGAACAATAAACACAGAACCACACATCAACAGCTTAACTTCACATGACATTGAGGGTAAGTACTCAGATATTCTGAGTCCTGTTTCATTATATATCGTCCATGTATGGGAAGGCATTTCAGAAATACAAAATGTGATTATAACAGACACTTAATCATTCAGTAAACTATCATTGTTTGTTAGTGTGATAGCTTTCAGACCCAAGATACAGCAGGGAGAATACTAATGTGTAGGTCAAATATATAACTAATTACCCTCAGCAGAACACTGCTGAGCGAGAAGTGGAACACTATTAGTAATTACATTGAGACAACAGGTATGATCTAGGTGAGTCCTGGGCAAGTGGCCATGTGAGGTCCATTCTACATCAATGGGCATTTCAAACAATGCTGCCAGTTCTTCTTGTTGCCCTGATTCTGAAGCAGACTGATCATTATTTGGCTTGTGTCAGTTTCATGATAGAAGCAGATAGCTTGGCAAGGAAGCATGTGTTCTATAGCCCTGAAGTATAATCAATGGTGTGCTAATTATAAAAGGCTATGGCTCAGGTCAGTTTTACAAAAGTGTGCATCTCCTTGGAGTTGACTATTACGGAGTCCATAAGTGTTCTGCTTACATTCCAGGAACTTCCTGGTGGATGAAGCATCTTTGAGTGAGGGTCTATGTTGCTGTTCTTGTATTTTGCATGCTATTTGCATATTTACTTTACTGCTACTGCTTGTAAGGTTCTCACTTCACTATAGCCAACTTCTGCAAAAATATTACCAATATGGTGCAAAGACCCACGTGTTGATGACTATTCTGTACTCTGAAAAGCACAAACTTTGTTCTTTTTCTGTTAATTCTTTCAGGATACAGCCATCTAGGAGAAGCTACAGAAAGATACAAAATGTAAAGCTTCCAACTACTTCATCTTTAATGAAATCCTTATCACTGCAACAGGATGGGCAGGCAACTCAAGACACTTGGAGTCAAACTCATTGAACTTGGTCTTGATGTGCAAGTTTGGCTAGATAATCTTAGGCAAAATTATCTGTTTACTCTCTTTGATCCACTGTTTTACTATCTGTATTAAAAAGTATCATAACATCTGCTGTTTCTGTCTCATAAAATGGTTACAAGAATCAAACAATGTGATGGCAATGGTAGTGCTTTGGATGTGATAAACTACTACACAGGGCTAAGACAACTTATCAGCTGACTCGTATTAACTGTGGGCATGAAAATTAGCAACAAAAAAGGGAAATTTCATTTATCTTGAGAAAGTGTTCAAGGATTCCAAAAGAAGGAATGAGGCGTGTCTCTGACATAAATGATCTGTAGTTTGCACTAGACTGAACTGAGAGTAGAAGAGGGGTCAAGTGCACAGAATCTCTAGTTGAATTTCTCTCTGTCTCTCTCTCTCAACTCTCTTCAGAAATCAACCAGTTTGTTTGTAAATGGCTTAGCTTATTATTTTATGTGTGATATATACTGTAGTAACTACAGAGCCTTTATTTTTCATTAAGTTAATCACTGCAACATCATCCATATCTGAGAAGTTCAGATCTACAATGTGTTGAGCAAAAGCATTGTGAAAATGGTCATATTAAATTTTGATCATGAACATAATTTTAATTCTCCTTTCCCTGAAATTTCCATAGGTTCCACTTAGAAAGGGGCTGTAGTGGCCATAGTGGTACCATTAGTAGTTGAATTCCATCTGATTTTAACAGCCTCAACTGACTAGTAAGTGAATGGTATAACATTTCTGGGATGGAAAAGCCATGATTTCTTTTTAAGGTTTATCCATGAACAGAAAGGCTGGCCAAGAGCAGGCATTCATAAGTGTCAGAAACATAAGACATCAGGGTGTCTTTGGATGGTCAGGGAAGCCGGTAGCTGCCCCTGCTTTCTGTGGGTCTTCCTGTCCATTGCCGGAAAAATGGGCTTTATTTATTGACTTAGTGTATTTCACCTCTCCCACATTCAGTTTGGGTAGAATAAAACAGACTACTTGAGAAATGAGGGAAGATTTGAGTTGAAACTTTTTGAGAGGATGTATACTGTAGGGGTGGAACAGATTGTAATTGTATTTTTCAGTTGGACTTAAACAGTTTTTAGCTTTAGTTTCCTAACTTTTCACATTTGCCCCAATTTGTTGCTCATGCCATCTAAGATGGGGTGAGTACAAGTGTTGTCATCCCATTTTATGGAAATGGCTGAGACATTAAGAGGTACAGTCACTTACCAAGGTCAGATGATATCTGAAGACACCTGGACTGGACCCTGGTGCTTGGCAGTCTGGCTATTAGATTCCACCAACTCTTTCTGAACTCACATGTGTGGGTAGCTATAGATAATGGCTATTTTGGAGGTATCTGTGTGGAATGAACCAAATTCTGACCCTTGTCTCAAGAATGGTGGATGGTTTGCCATTCTCTTCTTGTGTGCCATGGGAGATGTTGCAAAAGAGCTGTGTACTTTTTTAGTCTAGATGTTCAGGTAGTGACTTCTAGTTAGTAAGACGGGGGTGCCAGAGAAAAGCTCTGTGCTGTCCTTTCTGCGTTCCTCATGGGATGATCCAAGCACCTTGGGCACGATAGCTCTTCACGATGCAGGACCGTTAGCTCACAGCAGCTGGCTCTGTATCCCTATCAGCCCTGCAGTTGCTTCTCCTACCACACACCCATTTCCAAGTGTTTTCTTTACCCACCACCATCTTTTCTTCCAGAAACGATTGGCTGGCTTGGAAAAGCAGTTTCTCTTTCAGACCCTTTCATGTATCAATTTCAGTTTCTGGCCTTTTTTGTTGGGGTAAAATTGTAGGTGAGGATGAGGGCAGGTTATAAATAAGGAGTTTTTTTTTAAGGAACTAAAGATTTTTAAGAGAAAGAGAAAAGCACAGGAACAAAACTTGGAAGGCATTCTTGGAAGGGAAACAAAGATGAAGTAGGGGAAACCGAGAAAAGAAAAATAATTACAGAGAAGACTAAGAATGAACACAAATGGCCCAGGTGTGCAGCTGAGGGCACCGATGGTTCAGGCTGGAGCCTGGAGGAAGGCGACTACCGTATCTACACCTGCCTCTGCCAGGGCCACAGCAACAGAGAAGACAGAGAACACGACAATAAAGTCCACATTGGTTTCTTAGTATAAGCAAAAAGCAACAGATACTGAGCTTAACACATACCTTTTCTTCTAAGTCCTTTATCTGTCTTTTCTGGATATCTGTTTTATCTTCCAAATCACGAATTCTCTGAAGAAAGAAAAGGAAAATGTGAAAGTGTTAGTAGGGGTTAAGTTGTGCAGAGAAATTGTTCACCAAACCAAAACAGGTAAATATTTTAAAGTCTTTAGTAGCTGGAAGTGTGACAAAATACATGTTTCCACATCTAGAAGCGTGTTTTATATTTCAAAAATTACTCACAGCGATGGTGGAAAATTACAGCCCCAGATTATATTTTGAAATGTTTTAAACTCCTCAGGTCAAAGGATCTGCAGGGATCCGTTCATTTCCCAGGAGAGAGGGGCAGCTCCAGGACATGGCACTGGGTGACAGGGGGAAGGTGAGCTGCCGTCAGATGTGGGGACACTATGTCACTGTCCCAGAAAGAGTGAGCAAAAAACAAGCTGTGTCCTTAAGCTTTGGGATTGAGAATTTTTGTGACTTATTAGTGCAGTACAAGTGCCAAAGCTGATGTTTACAAACACAAATAATCCTGCTGGCTTTTTTTCTAAGGTTTCTTTTTAACTTATTGTCAGCCCTATTTCAGGGTAGAATTTCCTCACAAACACAATTTGACTAGTTCTCATAAAACAGAGTGGAGTTTTTAAAAATCCCAAGGGAAATGATAAACCAGGGGAAAAGTTATAACAAAATTAGCACAAACAATTGTAAAGACACAAAACTTCTAGGACTCTTTGTACTTACCTGTGAACGATGTCACCAGATTCTACTAATTTAAATAGTATGGACTGTATAACGATATTGATTACACAATTATTCATTTTACAAGTAAAATAAAACTCCATGATTACAGCTGCCAACCTAAAGGTATGTGTGTGTTCATCTAGATGATCATACAGTGTCAGCTTGTTATTTAACGATGCTTGCTGGGGAAAACAAACCAGAAATAGAGGACTAGAACTTGAGGAGAAAAACTGGAAGCCAAATGGGGTGATAGCACAAAGAGGTTTTTATAATACAATGTGCTAGGTAATGATATGAACACTTTTTTGTGGTCATAAGGGAGGGTATTTGCAACAGGCATCTGATAGGTAGAGACCAAGGATGCTACTAACTACCCTGGAATGCACAGACAGCACCATTCCTGCTCCAACATAATAAATAATTATCTGACCTAAAACATCAATTAAGCAGTGCTGTGCTTAAGAAAACATACCCTAAAGGAAAAGAGCTGAGTAAGGGCTTTGCAGGAGGGAGTGGTGTGCTTTGGTCAGGCTGAGATCATCAGAGTTGACCTTGAAAGGGCAGTGAGTGCTGGCCAGGTGCATGTGACAGGAGTGTACATGGATGATGTTTGCGCTGCTGTGTGTTTCAGTGCTTCTGCCTGTGCTCCAAAGCAAAGGGATAAACTTTCCAGAAACTTCTATCTTGAGTGTGTAAACAATTCCTTGGCATGACTCCTGGACATTGAGGTAAGATTCTTACTGAGAGAAACATGAATAGGTGAGATTATTGAAGTATTTTATTTGGCCACCAAGGCAATACTTGTTGGACATCTCTTAACCACATTCAGGACTATCCTGAATGCAATGGAGAATACAGGCATCCATTGGTTCCTGATCTCAAAAATGATGAGATCCAGGTGGAAAGACAAAATTGAAAACACAGGGATAAAAAAATTAAGTAGAAAAAGTAAAGAGTGACAAAAGCCACATATGAGTTTGTCACCGATCTCAAGTTCCTAGTGCAGTGTTTGGCATGGAAAGGCAGTTCCCATGTATTTGTTAAATGAATCAATTATGCTACATTATATGATACGGGCATGATTTCTTTTTGTTCTCATTCCCTTTCTATACAACTCCACAGGGAGCTTCGTCCACCTCAAAATAGAACCCTCTCCTACCTACTTCTTTTTATCTCTACTGCTACCAAGTACAAGTCACAGTCCCCCTTTTTCAGATCTGGTGAGATAGTTTGGTACCTGCTCTTCCTCTTGTTCATCCTAAGCCCATTCACAGCAGCCATGAGAACTTTTAAAATGTTACAATGACCACAGTAGTTAGCTGAGTTTAAGGGGTTTCTTCTTAGGAAAAGAGAAAAAGTAAGCTGAACTGTGTTCAGAACAACCCCAAACTTTTGCAAGGTCCTACACGATATGGCCTTTACATATCTCTCTAACTTTACTCTAATCAGCCTTTCTCTGACTGAATGCACTCTTCCACACTGGCTTTCTTTGGTTGTTGTTGCTTGAATGTGCTAAACTTGTGCCCATTCAAGAAACTGATCTTTTTTTCTATCTTCTGGAACCTTTTTCAAAGTCTTTGTGTGGTTATTACCTTGGGATTTAGATATCTTTGGATACCCTTGACTAGCCAATCCAGAGTGGCTAATTGTACTTCCAAATTCATGTACATATTGCACGGTCTTCTGGTCTTCTTTATAGCACTTACTGGTACTCTGGGAAATTGCCATGGCTTTTGTTCATTTGTGCTGTGGCTTTGTTCCTTTCTATTTATGAGATAGATGAGAACAGAGACTTTGCTATCTTTTTTCCCCACGACAATTCCCAACACTTGGCATCCAGAAGACCCTCAGTGTTTAGTTACATATAAATATATAGCAAAGCATGAAAAACACATTTTCCAGGGCCCAGGACTTAGTTCAGTGGTATAAGTGTCTGCCTGGCAAGTGTGAGGTCATGAATTCAATCCTGGGTACCACCAAAAAAAAAAAAAATAGAAGAAAGAAAGAAAAAAGAAATATACATTTCCCACAGCAATCTGTGCTCCCATTTTTTAAAATTTTATTTTAAAGAGAGTAAAACCAAAAAATAACAAAACAGAACAAAGCAGATCAGAAGAAAAAAATGTTAGTGACACAGATTTCAAAGCAAGAAAACAGGAGCTTTTCACTGTCTATC